CCCACGGCCGGGCATCAAGGCGTGAGGAAAACCATTGGCCCAGAGGTACTACTGGCAGCTATGTTCCGACGCCGCCAAGTAAGTGAAGTACTGCGAAAATTGTCAGAAGTTTAAGAGCGAGCAACTCAAACCGGCTGTAGCGGAGCCGATGGCGGTTCTCTTCGCGGATTTTGTCGGGCCCCTTCCACGATCGAGACATGGAAACACAATGCTATTGGTGTTCCACGATGCTTTCTCAAAGTGGGTGGAACTGGTCCCCCTCAGGAGGGCCACGACGGCGCCTTTGCAGACAGCGTTTCGAAAGAGGATTTTGAGCATGTTCCGGTTCCCTAAGAAGGTCATGTGCGACAACGGGGTGCAGTTTACAAGCCGTAGCTTCAAGGCTTTTCTGGAGTCGCTGGGTATAGAGGTCCAGTATACCGCCCCGTACTGCCCTCAAGAGAATCCCACCGAGAGGACCAATAGGACCGTGAAGACCATAATAGCGCAGTTTATCGAGGGCCATCAGAGTTCGTGGGACGAGCTCTTGCCGTAGATATCGCTGGTGGTCAACACAAGCGTGGCGCACTCAACAGGGTTCAGTCCCGCCTTCCTGATGCAGGGTAGGGAGACACGCTTGCCTGCTGCTCTGTACGATCAGGTGACTCCGGGGTCTGGACAAAGGCGATTAGGTTCTCCAGAGCGCATCCAAGGACCAGGGCAGGCACTACAGCTTGCGGAGACGAGAGTGGCGACCTTGACTGGATTCGATGGTCTTGCTACGGCAGCACCAGCTGTCCAACGCGGCTGAGGACCTCGCCCCGAAATTGGCTCCCAAATTTGACGGCCCCTGTCGGGTCGTCAAGTTCATATCCCACAATATCGTGCGCCAGGTGAAACCGGTCGAACGAAAGAATAGGGTGGCCAATATCTCGCAGCTGAAGCCATTCCACCAGGAGATGACGGATGACGAAGGGGAAAAACCAGCACCCATGGATGCCCACGAGCAGGCGAATAGTGAGAGCGACACCCGTCGCCTAAGGAAACCTTAGTAGTACATTTAGATTAAACTAACACTAGTAGCGTAGTCAGCATAGGCTTAGTAGAATGTGAGCCACACTGTGAGGATAGGGTATTAACAACTAAGTAATGGATAAGTTAACGAATAAGTTGAAATTACAGATGGACCCGGAAATCATTTCAATTTCCTTTCTTTCACCGCACCTGGCATCTGGGAGAAGACGACAGGAGGAGTCGCCTCGCCTGTTCCGTCACACGCTGTTTTCCCGGCAGAAAAAAATAATGGATCGATTTGACGGGATGGTCATGCTAATGGCTGTCGAGGTGACGACCATGTTCGTCGAGGCTCCGTTCTCGCGGAATTCGCCACAAAAAGCGGAAGAGCCCCCGTCCCCCCACTGGTATCTCCCTCGCCAATGTCGCCTGGAACGACAACCCCGACAGCAACCGACGAGGTGGACAATCCAGCGGACGAGGAGGAACTCCCACCGCTCGAGACAGGCGAGCACATTCCATCAATGCGGGAATCCGGAGCGATAGAGTCGCGAGGAACAGGAATTTCCCCGTCGACCCAGGAGATTGAATTGTCCCCGGCGGAAGTAGCCCTCGACGCCCCAGTGACCAGCGCGAAAGCCAGCCAGCTCCGCCGTAGCTGGGACCCTGTCGAAGAAAGGGACCAGCCGGCGCCGAAGCCCACGGCGACTTACGAGCTAGTGACGGAGGACGAAGCAGAAGAACCATTATTCCGCCGCCGCCTCGCCACACACAGTCTGAAGGTAGACCCGGATAGCCAATTTCCCCGGATAACTCTACGCTATTTGCCAAAGGTCCCGGAGGAGGGTAGTGGACTCCGATCTGGCCTTGCGAAACGTGGGGCGAGCACAGGAGAAGGCACTGGCCGAAAACGATAGCGGAACCGCCACCGTCGACAAACGGCCACTCGGGGTAAGCGCCGCCAAAGTGGGAGCGAACGGCAACCCAGCGGTGAGGGAATGCCGATACCGGTCCCCAAGAAGCCTCGCCCGGAGCCCGAGACGCGAACGCCAAGAGGGTCCTTTCGAGCCCGGGAAGGATAACCGTAGTTGCGGAGCCGTGGCCACTCTACCAGGTCGATACTCCGAGCGTTGAGTAGCGCCAATTGTTGCCTGTCAGATGGTCGTAGAAGAGCAGCAGATCGGAGATGATTGAGGTGGCTACTTGGATTAGCCACCCCACAATTTTGATCCACGGCAAGGAGCCGATATGTTGATGGCCAAAGTCACGGCAAGGAGCCGTTTTTGCTCGCCTGCGAGCGTGCCGGCACTTTGTGATCGAGCGTCAGGGCTAGAGCTCCGAACAGTGCGGCAGGGCCTTAGCTTAGGGAAATAGAGTAGGGTAGTGCCTAGTAAGTAAGAAACAAGGAGTGTGAATAAAATGAACTTAGTAAAGAAAGTCGGTTAGTTCCTTTTTTATTTATTATTACTCCTAAACTCGAACACCGGAGCTAGCCGGTGTTTAACATAACCTCTTTCCATAAACTAGTGTGCCTTGTGCGTGAATCGAGGCTTAGCCCGCCGACCGCATGAGCAATCCCGGCCGTGTATTTGTGTTTCGGCGCCTAGCCCACCGTCCGCGTGAACAAATATCTTGTAACTTGCTGGGCTTGGTAAGACTGAGTGTTGTAGCCCGGCTACGTTTAATTTTCGCGTTAAGATTCCGGTCAGATAATGCAAATGTCTGCGCTTGCTGGTCGGTGTGAAGGTTTCAACTTTTTTCGCCAGAGAGGCAGTTTCAGAGATTTTTGAGAACCCACATTCGTTTGTGGCTAAATGTAAAATCGGGATGTCATACTTTTTGGTCGTCCGTCCTGGGACAACACTGCCCCTAGGCCGTGCCGAAATGCCTGTTGTCAATTGGAGTGGTTTTTTTAAAGTCCGGGTACATTAGCATCACATCTTCTGATGCCAGTATATTCTTTAGTCTGTCAAGTGCCTATCTTTCCGTTTTCTCCTTTCAAAACATCCGTTAAAGCATCTGTAATAGCTAGATAGGCCCAAAAACGATTTGAGGCCGAACAATGTATTTGGTGGTTGGAAATTCGAAATTGCTTGGATCATGTCGGGCGATGTTGTTATACAATCCCTAGACACTAAAAATCCTAGGTAATCCACGGTTTTTTTTTTTTAAACCTGGACTTTTCCCGGAAACTCTCATGTCTGCATTTTATGTGCTCGTCATGTTCTTGCTTGTTTTCCGAGAATATTATTACTGAGCCTTGCAGTATTATTGTATTGAATGCCGTCAACTGATTGTCAATTGATTCAACTTTCTGAAATCAAATACCAGACTTTTTCTGTGGCCTGATTCATTGAAGCCTTCTTTTTTCCACGACCCGATTGGGTTATTTTATGGGTCTGCCTTATTTGCCTTATTTGATATAAGTTGCTAAATTTCGACGTTGACGAAAGTGGTATGCATATTGGATACGTGTATAATTTGGAATATACCGGTTCTCCGTCTGCTCGGATTGTGGCAATAGTATTAATGTTGTAGGGCAGGGACTCATTTGACATTGAATAGGTGGGTAGGGCATATCTGATCTATCTTTGTGTGGCCATAGACTGATTTGACCCGGAATGGGGCGTTCACTGGCATGAAATGTACCAGGTCCGGCAATGGCTTATTATAATTTTTAGAAGCTCCCGTTTCCATGAGGAATCTAATTGTTTGCCCTCCTAATGTATATGAGCTGTACGGAAGCAGGGATCTTCCCCTTAAAAACAGCTTTGAAGCCAAAAGCGTCGTTTTCAACTCCTGAAGTCTAAGTATGAGTTTTTTAATCTTCTTTTTCTTCCTCTTGACCCTGAGAAGTGAAGTTAATTCTTTGCATAAAAAAGTCTGAGTTTAGTAGTTTCCTATTGAACTGCGTTGGTTATCGGGAACGTGTTGAAGGATCTACTTCCATGGCTTGGTGCCCTGGTTTTCGCCGTCAGCCCCTCTGATAGCTTTCGAAGAGCTGCTGCCATATTATTATTTTCTTAGTTCAGATGAAACAGTTAATTCTGAGACAGTTGCAGTCAATCTATTGATGGATCTTGGACATGTAGTTCGGGTACTAAACACTAGACATCGACGCTTGGCTAGTGAATTTGCTCTTCTTTTTAATTGTCTCACTGTCAACTTTTTAATTATTTCTTTCGACTGGATCGAAATTGATCTTTTCCAACAGGCTTGAAGTGTAACCCACGCAAGTACCGAAAGACATTAACAAAAACCCCACGACCTTTGTGTTTGCTATGCATTAGGTATTTCATTTAGTTTTGTCGATATCATTGAAAGTACATAGCTTAGTTGGAATCATAGCACATTGCAAAATGTTCTTTGGGCCCAAGATAGCACCCATGTTGCCAAGGCAATACTACTTCCAAGTCCTGTTAGTATCAAGATTTTTAAGGAGAAACTATCCTTCCACTTTGGTGCGAACAATCCCCAATTGAAAATCTTATTGTAAACTAACTATGTCGCACCGCTCTTTCACTCCTTAATTAGGCAGTTTTAAAACCTATAATTGGAGTGCCCATCGACGTCAAGGAGGTTTGCATTTCAGATCTTATGTCATACACAATGCATTGCTGAAATTCTCGTTTCCTTGGACATTGGAATCATGTCAATGTCCGCAAAATTGATATATATTTACGATCTGCTTACTTTTTTCATTTTTATGTCCATTCTTACCCGCCAAATATAATAATAAAAATAAAAGATTACAATATATTTTATTTGGTAAATAAATAATTAGAAGCATATAAAACTACACGTTTTCAGTCTTTCGAAAAACTCTTTATGTAACTACTTATGTACATAAAGAGAACTTAAAAATTCAAAATATAGACTTAAAATACGTATAGGATAAGATATATTCTTCAATTGTCGTCCCTTAAAAATACAAGAGCAGATATTTCACATTCGCTTATACAAATTATTTATTTTAATTAATATATATATGTTAGACATACATATATCGAAAAATATTTAGAATATATATGTATAGAATATGCTTTTAAGCTTTACGTGAATCATGGTAATCGGCTAATAAGCTATTTATAATCTTTAATAATTTAATATGCTTCATTACTTCTTAATGCAATACTTTAAATGGGTGAGCAAAAACAGAAAGCCATTAAAACAAATACAATTGCACTACCTCACTAAAATAATTCAATTTAAATTAAATGTATGTATGTATGTTGAATATTATATACGTGTTTCAACCATTGTTATAAAATTGAATATTATACTCTTGGTGTTAATACTAACGGAAAGCAAATTGTAGGTAACGCTACGCTAGCAGGTTTTATTTTAATTGTTGAAAGATCAACACTATTTATATTGTAGGTTTGTATTATATTGGCTAACAAAACAAATCCAAATCCACGCACCAAATTTTGTCCAATGCATGTGCGCTTACCAATACTAAAAGGCAAAAAATGGGGAATATTTTTTTTAAGTTGCATTTTTTTTGGCTTATAGTTTTCTCTCATATTTTGTTTATTTAGCTTGCTTGGTATATATCGATGTTGAACAGATGAATTGTGTATTCTTGCATCTTTTTCAAACTCAATACCTGAATCAGACTCTTCGGAGCATCTCCTTTTCTCATGGCATTTTGGTGGCATTGACACACTGCTAGTCACTTCTTCTAAAAACCTTTCTGGTTGAAATCTATCAGGATCCTTCCAGTACTTATGGCTCATGTTTAGCACATAATTATTTATAAAAACAATACTGCCGCTAGTAACGCCATAACCTGATATCGATGTATCCTCTGTGGCTACATGCGGAACAATAGGTGATGATGAGTATCGTAAGACTTCCAGTATGGTAGCCATGGTATAAGGCATTTTATCCATATCATGTAAGGTAATAGTTCGTTGACTGCTTTCGGATACACAATCGATTTCGCATTGAATTTTTTTTCCTATAACAGGATCCTTGGCTACGTAAGCAAGAGCTAGCATAACTAAGTTTCCAACAGCTGAGTGACCACCGATAAAATCTTCTAGCATAAAAATTATTGTATTACGTGACACGTTTTTATTTTCTATAAGACTCTTCAAGAGCGCATCTGTAAAATCAATGTCAGGTTCATCTATATCGATATGCAACTCTCTTTCATTAATTACCCGCTCCAAAATAAATTTGCGAATAGTGGAAGACCAATGACATATTTTTTGCGTGTGATATATGTAAAAAGGCAAGAGCCAAGGTAAAAAATCTAATGGATGTCCTTGATTGATTTCCCAAAAAATTTCATCGAAATACAAAATAACTTGTTGAAATTCTTTGTCTTCATAATCGAACCGCATTGAGCACATATATTGACTAAACATATTTGCGCATGCTTTAAGAATAAGAGGTTTCAAATCAAGGGGTTTGCCAGGCTTAATGGCGTTTTTTAAATTTTGCATTAAATTATCGATTTCATTGCAGCCGATACGAGACATTTTTGCGAAATATGATGATGTTTCTCTAGGAGAGCAGTGTCGTCGGGCCAAGTTCCGACGTTTCTGTTGCAACAATGACCAGTCGCAAAGGGCAAGAGCTGTAAAATAACAAATAAGAATAAAAATAGTTATTTGTGTATATTGCGATATCTTAATTTTAATTTGAAGGATTGTTAAATCGGAATTATAATTTTCATAACGTTTGCAAGGCATTTTCAGATTTTTTATGTCAATTTATTGACTGTATCTAAATTTTCCTTAATAAATGAATATACGTCACAAGCACAAAAATAATATATTTGAAGTTTGTTTTAGCTTCACTATAATGGTGTTCTTGTAACAGCTGTGCAACTTAGCAAGAACTATGAAGAACAACAACAATACCCTTCACTTCGAAAAGTGTTGCAAAAGTGCAACAAGAGATGAAGAAAATCCACCCTTCCTTTCCATCCAATGAATTATTGTCTGAAATTTCGGGGCAAATTTTGTATCCAGATAGGATATATAAAAATGATAATTTATTTAAGATGTCTTTTACACTTTTCGCAAAATCCATTCGAAATAGGAATTCGAAACTTTATGACGTCATCTTGGCCTTGTATATAGTGTAGCATGTATCTTCCCGACAAAAGCAGTCTTACTTGTGATACCCTGAAGTCGAAATGTAAGCACCTATCGATTTCCGAGGTTATAAGAAGGTTTTTTTTGTTAACTAAGGCCCTCCTAGTATATATATATTTGCAATTTTCTAACTCTTGCAATCATAATGCTCATACAGTAAATTGTTCTGTCAGCACTCTGAAGGCAATGGTTCGCGGCGGTAAACTGATATCTTGTACGAGGCGCCAGATCAGCGATATTGCTTGAAAACGGTTTGACCGCGGGTAGCTTAGATAGTATTTGGAAGTCAAACATAGCAAAAGGTTGGATATATATTATCCATTTAATAATTATCCATTTTTTTTTAATTGGCGCCCAACAGAAGTTCATTAAAATCCACACAACTCGTCAGGTATCTGCACTAAAATACATATATTTTTAAACCACACCGCAGTGTACTTTTGTTCTGGTTCTGATTAATTTCGTCGAATATGAATGATTAGCATTATAGTGTTGTGAAAAGTGTGAGTTCACTAATTGTCTGATCTAAGTTCAAGAGTTGGGAGATTCATTTAGAGAAATAAAGCAAGAATACGACAGTAACGACAGCCTGAAAAATACGAAAGTAGTCCTCTAGAACAAACCCCAAACCAAACTATAATGGACACCAACCTTTTAACAGCCTCAATAGTAGGCGCAGTTAGCAACGCATGGCTCGATTGGCGTTTCAGATCAAAGGTAGAAGTACACCAAACAATTAATGTGAATGCGAACATTAAACGTAAAGAAAAGCTCGATGATGCTCAAGATGAATACGTGTCTTGGAGACATTCAGCTGTAGACGCAAATGCAATTTTGTAAACATATCACAGTAGTAAGGCCCATTTGCAATCAGTCACGATCATAACAAATAAAATGAGCGGATCGGCAAAAGCATTACTGGTGTCGCATAACACGATATTGAATTCTGATGCGATAATTGCTAGGTTAGACTGCACTTACGCCTATAAGATTTCGTTACACGTCCTCCGACAAGGAAAGTGAACTTAGCCTGATGCAGTACTATGATTAGGTCGAAAGAAGACTGACATATGTCATTGTGTGGAAAAAGCAACGCTGATATCACTCTTCTATCTTCTGGAAATGTCAAATGTAGTAATAACCACCTAGCTCTGTATGACGGTAAGGCGTCAGCAAAGTTAAGGCAATGTAAATTAAATTTTAAAAACTGATTTTGCAGCCTTTCAATCCTATTGTGTGCACAATTGCGGATGGGGTCCAGATATAAGAGGCATACTCTAATATAGACCGCACAAAGGCCGAATATAAAGATAATCTTGTGAACGGGTCTTTAAACTGGCTAGAATTGCACTTAACAAACTCAAACATCGCTTACGCCTTAGGCATAATATAGTTTATATGCTGAATGAATAAGAACTTAGAGTCGAAAATTACTCCTAAGTCCAAGGCTTCTGATTAACGAGTAAGTTATTGCCCGTAACTGATTATTTCTACACCATTCAGACAAGTTGTGTAAGTCCTTCTGCAAAATCAGTAAATCATGCTGAGACGAAATGCATTTGAATATTTTAAGGTCATCGGCAAATAATAGATAATCGGACGAACGGAAGCAACTCCCTATATCAACAATAAATCAGTTAAATAGAAGCGGACATAAGTCGCGGACAAATTATTGTAGATGCGTACGCGGTAATAACGATCAGACAGATAGGATTTTAACCAGCTTAATAAAGATGAGTGAAAACCCAGCCTAGACAGTTTCTTAACGAGAACGACGTGACTGACTTTATCGAAGGATATAGAAAAGTAAGTATACACTGCATCAACCTGACAACGACGCTCAAAGCTCGGGATGCAAAAATTGTAAAAATTGCTTAATTGGTCACTGTTGATCTGCTCGGCGAGAAGCCATGCTGTCTAGGATCAAAATACGTTTTAATTACAAAGGAGATATGTTTGACGACCATACGCTTAAATAATTTAGAGATAATACATAGTTTTATAATGCCCCTATAATTATGAATGTGGTATTACCTACCATCTTTAAAAATTGAAGAGCTCTCGACGCAATTAAAATATTTTGGAAAGTTCGAGCTAAAATATCTGGCAAAACGATCTGCTATACCTTAATCCGAATTAGCTGACGGCTCCCAAGTGTCACAGTTGACGGCATCGACGAGGTTGCTCTTTTCGAATTGACAAACGACCAGAAGTTTTTTGGGCAAATCTTAATCCCATCCTCGATATTTAGTATAAATTGGCTGTAGAAAATTTTTTTAAAAATTCAAACTCTCGCTTATGTAGAGAATATGTTTCCCAATCGGAGGGCCTCGATATTAACAGAATTTCCTAAAAAATTTGTTGCGTAGGTTTTTCAGTTTTCTTAGACCCTTTGTGTACCAAGTCAAACCATGCAATCCCTGCCTTTTCTGTGGGACATGATCATGCAGAAAATAATGAAGAGCTGAAATAAAGTTATGAAAGCAGTAGTCCAAATTGCTATGCGATAAGAATCTCTGCCCATCCAGAGTGTAAAAACATTGATAATATTAAAGTTGCAGTGAGTAAGATTATAGTCATATATGTTATATGACTGTGTAAGAGAGAAGAATGTATAAAATTCGACTAACAATAGGATAGGAACATGATGCATGTCACTTCTAGTGAGAGGGTTTAAACATATATTTGAATTAAAATTAACGTCAAAATTTAGAAAAAGTAGATCTAATATTTTATGCAATTGATTGAAAATCGTATTAATTTGGGATAAGCCCATACTACATAATTCATCAATGACAACAATTTCGTGTGGATGATGAACATTGGATTACAGTTAGGATGTGGAATTACGAAACGACGACCATGCCAGATTGCCAAGGTTGAAATCTCACATAACACATAGCGAAATGTTGTCCACGTGCGCTTTGTATAGATCGAAAGGGCTATTAGGCGGCATATATGAGACACATATACACATAGTGTCAGTGCCGCCGACCACAAGCACGGCCAACTGGTCCTGTGTGAATCATCGTAATTTAGCCGTAGCATTTCACATCGCAATGTGTGTCGCACAGCTATTATAACACCACCCCCTCTCGAGCGCTGTACTTTCACAGCGTCTCTGTCTTTACGAAAGACACGAAAGGTTCTGGTGTCAAGTATTCAGCGCCATAGAAATCCGAGTTGAGCCATGTCTCAACTAGTACTATGACATCAAAATCATATTGGGATGTTCCCATGTGAAGCACTTGACCAGATATGTTCTGATAATAAATCTTGGGACTAGCAGTAGCTTTATCTGAATCCAGCATTAACGCAGGCGCAATTGAATGGTGTGATGGTATTAAGGAATTATTTCCCAAGACGTGAAGAGTATCAGAAGAGCGACTAGCTAGTTGCCGCACTGGCGCCGATAAAGAACAACATCGTAGCCCGAGCAAAGCGCTCTAGAACTCCAAATAATCCATGCGAGGAAGTGGCCAACGCAAGGGAAGGGATGGCCTTGTAAGTTAATCGTAAAGCCTCTTACCGATTGTCAAAACGCAGTCCGGTGAAGATAAGGGCAGCGTTCTGATAAAGAGAGTGTATGAAGAGTAGCTGCAGCACGCATCAGGTTACCAATCCGTCCAGCGCAGCAAATATCGAAGGAAGCCGAGTGCAGCGAAATTAGACGAAAAAGTTGTTGTACTAACGAAGCAGGGTAAAGCGTGCGTGTTAGTCCGGTCTCATGAAAAAGCATTTCGAGAGCAATAGAATAGCTGCTTCCAGATTTATCGCAGTATCATCGTTCGCAGATTTAGGCCTGTGCACGAATCTAGACACTTTTACTGATATAGGCCAAAACGAAGAGTTATAGACTTTTGCAAATAACGGTTCATGAACCCCCAGCTTAAAGTTGACAAGTCGCAGTGATGATAAATCCGCATTTAGTTTAACCAGCTTGAAGCACGTAAGCGCATCAATATTAACCTTAAGATTGTTAGTAACATATCTCAACCCCGCCTCTGGTTGCGTTTTGGTTGACAATTTTCCAACATGTAAATATTGTAAGCTGTGCTTTTCTTCAAGTCATAGCAATTAGGAGCTTCACCAACCACAAGTTGATTGTTCTTGTTTTCCAGTTTCCTCTTTTGCCTTTTTCGAATTGTTACAGAACATTCGCTCACAAACTCTGCATACGTTTCGGCTGCATAGACGGGGAAGTAACCTAGGTCAATGCCCCCTGCAGCTGTTGAAACAGATTATTAATCGCTTTCTATGACGCGCTGTTGAGTCTTTGTATTTATTATGTTATTAGGAGCAAGATTGGGAACAGTTTTGACAATGTAATTCTGCTCTATTGTTGCTTTCAGACCGTCATAAAGTTTCTCAAGGTTTAACACTTTAGCACTAAGCTCATCAATTTTCGTGTGAGAATCAACAGACACGACACAGTAGTCACACTGCCATAGTAGAATTGGCAAGTTTCTTAAAACCT